CGAGATATAGCTGAAGACCACTGAATAAATAAATTTGGGCTTGGTTCTGATTTTTCAATGGTTTTGAAAAACTGGTTAGGTATTTCATCGTATTTCCCAGTAACAACAATTTTATGTAGAATTTTCGCCTGAAAATAATTAAAAATAGTTGTATAAGTATCATTGCGAATAAAACAATATGTACAATTCTAAAAGGTTACTAAAATCTTTTAAAAATATTTCAACTAACCATTATAGCTAATAAGCAGTCTGAATTTATATCTAATACACGATCAGCAGTTTCAATAACATCAGACCATTTTTGTATGCTCATGTAAAGATTTAACTTCTCAATAAAAGGTGGTAAAAAGTTAGGTAGTTTAACAATAAGTTGATTTAAGATATGAATAGCTTCAGTTACATCTAAAGTTGCAGCTTCACCAAGATATGCTTCAATCGAATCATTTTTCTAAAATATTAAAATATTTTCATAAATAAATAAATATTAAATATTAATTATATTAAAAAAACAACTCACTTGTGATTGAACGGCTCTAAAACAGTTTCTTGCACTTTTAAGATTGTTTTCTGAAAGTTCCAACCAACCTTTAATTAAATAGCCATCAACTGAACTTGGATATTCAGATAAAAGCTGATCAACATAAGCTTTTGATTTTTCAAGACAATTACATAGCATCATGACATTTGCAGCATGAAACAATACAGCTTCTGAATGACTAAACTCTGTGACAGTGAGTTCTAACATATTAATTGTGTTGATATCAGGGACCTGTAATATTGAAAAACATATAACGCAACAAATTTATTATATTTAATTTTTTTTTTAATGTAAATACCTCAAATTGTTTGTGAGCATAAATCATAACCAGCGTAGAAGCTAATCCAATATCAGTAAGTTTGACTAAATCATCAAGTATGGTTAGCCCTTTTGACAGTTTATTTTGAAGAACATATGATAGACCATAATAGAGTTGATAAACTGAGTTATTAAGATTAATTTGTATAGCTTTTAAGCCAGATGTTTGTGCACTGGAATAATATTTTGTTCTAAGATAATACTGTACTAGTTCTAAATCCATTTTAGTTTATTTTGTAATCAACTAATATCTATTTTAATTTACAAGCTACCCACAATAATCCAACATCTATAATACTTTAATTAAAATAGATTATCATTTTTAAAATGATAGTTTGTTAATTGAAGGTAATTTTTTAATGATATTCATTTTTTCATTTGGATACATTTTCAGACATTTTATCAGAAAAGGACAATATAAAGCTGTTTTTATATTATGTTGAACCAAGTAGTCAATTACTTCCTGAAAAAAAAGAAAACAAAGATCTTTAGTAATAATTAAATACATGATAAAAATATAAATTAACAAAAGAAAAATAATCAAATATCATAGTTTAAATAAAGGTTCAATTATCAATAAAGAAATTATCGTATACTCTTTATTTTATTTACACTATTTTTATACTATATACATTTTTATATACAGTACAGTACAACTTCTGTATATATTTTTAAAACTTCTTTTTTTTCTGCTCTTATTTTGTAGCCAAATTGTTCACATTGGTTAAAAATATCTAATAGAAAAATTTTCTTAGTAAGCATTAACTAAATAAAACCATATTATGTTCGGTTTTTATATACTTTAATTTTATAACTTACTACAAATTAAAGATAATAATAAGTTACTATGCATAGTTGCTTTAAACATTCTTCAAAATTAGAAATTTAAATAATGATTTTAATATGGGTTATATATGTTTAAAAGTGATAGGTAATAAATGTAATATTGTTCACTCTACAATAGAATAACTATATTCTCTCAAACTTAACTTATTCCTACTAGTAAAATTCATTACACATTTTTTATCTGTTAAACTAGTAACATGGCCAGGGAGGAACTAGGAGGCTGCAACCACTAGAAATTTCAAGAAAATTTCAAAATATTTTCAATGTTTTGTTAATATATTACATAAGATATAAGCATTAGTTAAAATTTTGATTTGTATGAAGGTTGTTGCAAGTTTAAAATGTTCTATACCTATAAAATTATTATCAAACTTATGAAGGAAGGATCCAATTTAAACTTTAATATAAAACAAATTATTCGACCACCTACCATTAAAAACACTGGGTGTGTTAAACCTATTTAGTTATAATGTTTAGTTTATCCTGCTTATCAATGTAAAATAAATAATAAATCATAAACTTTTTATAAAGGCTTTAATTATTATGTATCATAAGTTAACCTGCATAGTGCACATGCTTCTCACCTTATTAGATAATTTGAAATTTCTAATAAATCAATGATATATAATATGGTATAATATTCAATGTATTAATAAATAATATTTTAAGTATGTCATATTTTCCAAAAATGTACCTCAAAAAATATTTTCATGCTGTTAGAAAATTAATTGCTTACTCCTTAATAAATAAATTAAAATGAAATATTCACTATACACCAATTACTTAATAATATTATAAATATATACCACAGTGTTTCCCAACCTTTTTATAAAGATGACCCATAAATTTATTGCTTGTTGGTTACACTACCCACCCCCACCAACACTGATAAAATTTTTTGTATAATATTGAATTGCTTGATGGAACTATCAGACTGGTTGACTGGATGTGGTTTAACAAACAATAAATTTACCTATTAGAAAAATTAAAACTTAATAAACATCATATACAATTTGAGTATTTAAAAATGAGTATCTAATCATAAACTGAAATTTTTCGTTTGTACCTACTCTCATAATCTCTATATACCAAGAGTTTCTCAACCTGGGGGTTGCCAACTTGTTAATTAGTCGCTAACCTATGTTTTAAAATTCAAATACAAAAATACAAAAATAGCTCAAATAATAAAATAAAGTAATGAAAAAAATAAAATCAATAAATATAAAACACTGTATTGTGTATTGTACTATTATAGTAATTAATAATAATCAATGCCAAGTACCTATATAAAAAAAAAAAATATATGTAGGGGGTCGCTAAAAAATTGAAAATCAAAAAGGGGATTGTCACAGTAAAAAAGGTTAAGAAATGCTTATATACTGCTTATTTTTCAACTGTATGGAAAATTGACCGATACCACATCGACAGTCATTAGCACATATATCGATAAGATAAAAATATAATACAAACTTTACTAAAAATATATTGATATCTACATTGTAGAATCTACAATACTAGCGAGGCTTCACATCATTATTATATGAAGAGTTATTAAATAAAACATTACTTAGGCATTTATAAATTTTCTGTTAAAATTATTTTCATGTATATTTTAGTTATAGTTTGCGACTGGCAACCCATAAAAAATATTTCACGACTCATAGATTGGGAAACACTGATACTAATCGTATCCTCCCATACACGCTCCTATACACAACAGAAAATACTTTAAGTCTAAGTCATTACTTTTAACAAGGCAAAATAATAAATTAGATGCTCACAACGCATAGTTTATACCTACATACTTGATAAATTAAATTTCCAAGTTGATGACCTCTATGTTCTATAGGTACTTCAGTATGGTATAAAACAAATAAACCATCAATTATTTTGTACTGAATTTTTATAACAAAATTTCCTGGAAAAAAATAATAAAACACATGACTTCTTTTATTAGGGACACTAAATACAATATGTACAAACGACACACTACATAATAGGTATACAAATTTGAGCAATTGTGCTTATAATTATTTTTGATTTTATTTAAATCTAATTATTCAATTACATACATGTAAATGAAAATTAGAAAATTCAGGATAAACTATGAATAATATTACAATGTATAAAAGACATGAAACATCTTACCTTTGGAATTTACAATTTCGTGCTTGAAAGTCATATTTTTTACATCGTGTACAAGCTTGGTTTTCATTGCATATTGAGTACTTTTAAAGACAAAGCGACTCATGATAATTAGTGCAAGACGTGTTCAACTCTATGTGCAAAATGCAAACAAATTTATGACATTTTTATGTGCAGATCACTAGCATTTTAATATATAATAATAATAATAATAATTAATGACTGTCGAAGTTATTACATACCCACCTATCCGAGATAAAAGCAACAACCAAAATTTAATGCTATATTTGTATACAAGTTTTAACTATTGAATCACATCATAAAAATACATAAAACATTTGAAAATTCAATTATCCAAAACGTAATCGTTATAATTGGTCTGCGATCGACGTGGACTGATCGCCGAATATCATTTTTTCGTAGTCACGACTCGCAAGGCATCATTTAACAGGGATTCCGATGGATACATGCTGCACGTAACATGCATAGACTTGGAATATACAAATTTATTTAAAACCGACGGTATATGCCATAATATATGGATAATATTACTCCTATCGCACGACTGAATAAACGTTTATTCACTGTTTTAATGTTATTTAGCCATGTGTAATATATTACAACTTACGAGTTACAACTTACAAGTCTATGGATAATATCGTTCTGCGATGACCGTTGATACGGAATCCCGTGTTATCTGTGTTCTGATACGGTCACAGATATTTAAAATTTTAAACGTCAAAATACGTTCATATCACGATACTTGTGTGATTTAGATAACTACTATGGCCGTTAGCACGATAAAAATATTATCATTATTCGTCTGTCACTGCGAATCGAGAATATTGAAGAATAACGAGGTCCACAGCTGTGGTGAGACCACAAAATCGCGATTTAAATCGCGCGCAGAATAGGCGAAACCGATAAAACCTTGAACTCTTCCGAGTGTAAAACAGGTTGAATCGTGTTCATAATGTAATATCGAGATGAATAGATTTCACACAGTCAGTGCGTAAGATCAAGGCGAATATTGCTGTGTAGTGTGTACCATGTAGAAGATTGTTCTCAGGTCGGAAAGGTCGTCGTTATCACTTATCATCAGTGCGAGCAAATATTTATTATTTACATAGAAATAATATTATCTACGGTTGGTTGTTAACTGCATTAATATGTGGTCTGTACAGTAGCAAATAATGTTATGCCGTTTTGTGTCGTAACTTAACTACTCACTTGACTGTTTTTTAAGGTATGACCGTGTGCTATAGAATATTAAAATTATTACATTTGCCATTTAGATGGTATGTAGAATACTGTAAAGAATGTATATTTAGATGAATTATTGCTTAAAATAGATTTTACCTAATACACCATTGGTCTTACAATTACTTTTTTGTCTGTTACTTACCTCTACGATTAGACACCTGTGGATATCGTTCACACCATGTTGGTTCTAGTTGTAACGATATTGTGCAGCTTGATTGGCCTTATACAAAGTGAAGACCAGTGTAATGGTTTGTACAGTAATTATTTTCATCATTTGTCAACAAAAACTCCTTATAGATTTGTCGCCAACCATAACACAGATCCGGTCAATTTTGAAGGTAAGTAGGTATTAAACTTTTTCAATAATAAATCATAATATATCAATGTTACATATTTCATGTAAGTTTTGCGTTTGTCTTATGGTTTGTTAAATTTAACTTTTACTCTTAAGGTTGTAAAGCATGGAAAATTTGGCTAGTTCAAAGGCATGGTACGAGAACACCTGGTAAAGAACTGGATCAGTTTGTCAAAAATAGATTACCTGAAATTCAAAAGGACATTGTAAATAATTTGATTGAGTGTAGGTATAAAATTTAACTTAAAATATACTTAGTACATATTAGTACATAGTAAGAAAATTATCTTCTGTATCCTTCTGTATCTATTAAAGGGATGTTGTGTTTACACGTGGTGATTTCATCTTACTAATGTATAGTATGACAAATTTTATTTTAGAATAAGGCGAATCCATTTTACTCTGTGATGTGTAGTGTTATAAGGAATTGACCAATTATTAAATTGACATATAAAAATATTATCTGGACCATTCCATGTAGGTTTTTTTTTATATAATTCTTAAGCAAGAATGATATACTTTCTTTTAAATACATTTTATATTAGGTCAATAAACTCAATATGTTTTTTTAAAAACCTATATTAAATTAAATTATCTAAAATGTTTCATGTTCATTTTTGGTAAGACAAATACAACTCAATACATCATAATATAATATTTCTTTTATCACGGTATTTTATTTTTATACTTTAATTAATTCATCAAATGTGTGTTTATGTATTTACAACTTAAGTACACATTTCAAAAAAATAAAATGAAATAACCATTTCATATTTGATTTTTATTGATTTTTATCAAAAATTGTAAATTTGATTATCAATGCAATATGAATTGACATACTTTTTTTTTTTTTGTATAAATAATAATTATTTAATGTGTGTCTTTAATTTGTCATATAATAGTCACTGTATTATACCAAGCATAATAATTTCCACATACTTTATGAATTAATTTTGATTCTTTTATTACATTACATAACATAGATAAGATTATTTAGTAGTTTATTCCTATGCATAATCTTAATAGACAATTACTTGACTTAATGAATTATGATCATGTAATTTAGTGTAAATGTAAGTAATTGTCATGAAGTAAAATGTAATTATGATTTATTCAGGCCAACTATGCAATGAAGATGAAATAAAATCATGGACTCCTCATAAAGAATTAGATAATCAAAAGCGATTAACCAAAGAAGGAGAGGATGAACTTTTTGCAATTGCTGAACGTATGCAACTTAGATTTCCTAATTTATTGAATCAACCACATGAAAATACAAACTTTTTGGTAAATTATCTCTATTATCTGACTATTGTTTATTTTATAATTTTTTATAGTTTAGATTTACTGATACTCAAAGAACTAGAGTAAGTGCTAAACAATTTGCAACAGGATTGTTTGGGTACCAAGATGTTAAGAAAGTATTATTTGAAGAACCATTAGCTAAAGATCCATTATTAAGAGTAAGTTATTTATAAAATTATTTGCTTTATTGATATTAAATTCAGAACATTATATGATATACTATTTAGTAAGTGTTTTACTTGATATTGAAATTCATTAATATTGAAGGATTTAATCGATACTTTAAATTTTCATATTACTCACTCATACTTAATGATCAAAATATTGTTAATTTATCATTTTTGATTAATGTTGATTTTTTCAAATTAAAATTAAATATTTGAAGAAAAAAAACTTTTTAGAATTTTTAAAACTAATCTTTCAACTTTTCAGTTATTTCTTGATAAGAAACTGCTTAGAACAAAAGACATTTAAATTATTTTTTATTTTTATCTTTATATTTTAAATCATACAATTTATCATTTATCAGACAAAATTTAATTTAAATATACCTTTAGTTATAATTACACATTTTGATAAGTTATTTTAATTTACATATTAGTTAATATGATTTAATAAAATACTCTACAACTATTGTGTTGGTAAATATTTATTATATAAATAAACTTTCTAAAATTATGTTAATTTAACTATTTTTAGTTTTATAAAGTTTGTCAAAAATGGAGAAAAGACGTTAAAAAATCCTCTACAGCATCAATTGAATACAAACGATTTATAGAAAGTGAATTAGTTAACAGCACTTTAAAAAATATATCTTCGAGACTTGGACTTGATTACACGTTAACATTTGGTTAGTATTTATACTCAGTAATTCCATTTTTTATGGAAATAAAATAACCATAATTATTTATTTAAGATGATGCCAAGAATATATATACATACTGTGCTTTTGAAACTGCTTGGGAGAAAAATAAAGTTTCACCATGGTGTTCAATTTTTAATAAATCTGATTTAATGGTAATTCATTTTAAATATATAATTATTGTTAAATTATTTTTTAATGGTATATAAAATGATTATTTTAACAGTAAGTGCTCATCAAATAATGGCAAGTATTAACTAGCTGTCTTAGAACATTTAAGATGCACAAAACTTAAAATTTTAAACAGTTAAAATTTTTCAACAAATATTATATTTTCTTAGTTAAAAAAATCATCCATGATAAAAATTGTAATTTATAGGTTCTTGAATATAGTGAAGACTTGAAGTATTATTTGATTGATGGTTATGCTTATGAGTTATCATACAAACAAGCATGTGTCTTATTTAAAAATGCGATTGAATATTTTGAGTAAGCAATTTTTGATTAATAGTTATTTAAATATTTTTAATCTAATTTATTTGATTTTTCATTTTAGTGATCAAAATTTGACTAGCAAAAATGGTGTTTTTTATTTTACCCATTCAGGCACAATTTTAAAAATGCTCGGATTTTTAAGTCTTTATAAAGATGAACATAAATTAAAGCATGACAATTATTTAGAAATGGAGAATCGGCAATGGAGAACTTCAACAATTGATCCTTTTGGTTCAAACATTGCATTTGTTTTATATAAGTAATGGACTTATTATTTTTTGAATTTATAATTGGTGGGCATAATATGTTTAATATACCATTGTATTATTGTTATTTGTAGATGTAATAATAATGAAACTAAGATACTAACATTACATCAAGAAAGAATTGTTCATCTTGATGGTTGCGGAGATGGCCTTTGTTCTTATGACCAATTTAAACAGCTGTTTGCAACTAAAATTCAAAACTGTAATTTTGATGAAATGTGTAGTATTGACTAAATTGTTTAATATTTAAGCTTGCACAAACTTAATTTATTTATGTTATGTAAATGCTTTAATTTTTTTTTTATCTATAAGTTATTTTTAATTAATTAACTATTTAACAACAAAATGATATTATCAATATTTTTGTAAGGGTTTTGACCTTTTGGTAAAACAAATTTACAATTTATTTTTGTATTTTTGTGTGAATTATTATTGTATCATATTTTAATAACAATTGAAATGTACTGAAAATAAATCACAATTATTTTAAATTACAATACAAATATTTTTTTTAGCATTGGTGCACCTTTAACTGTAGTCCTATAATATTGGTTCAACGTTTTATATTTTAAGTACTTAAGAAAAATATTATAAAATTAACTTAATGTGGTATGAAAAAGTTAAGAGTTGCGTCCAAAGCATACTTTGAGTATACGAGTACCCAAATAACTCATAATAGACTTTAAAAGTGATTTATTAGGTAAGTTTATAGAATACTAGCTTCAGTAAACATCAGTATGATTATTCTTTAATTTGCCAGGAGAATTCTTTAGGACAGAGATTATGAAACCTAGTGTATGTTGTTATGAAACAAAAGCTCTCACAGCAAATATTTTATGGTAAACATGTATAAGAGGTTTATACAATTGGAACAGTGTTTATTTATTAAACTGAATACCAATAATGATAATTATTTAAGAAATACATTTATATTAAATTTAAAGAATAGAGCTTTTAGAAAAAGTGAAAACAAAAATTGTGATTTTGACTTTTGTATAAACCAAATAGTGAGTAAATTACACAGGTAGTGTAAAATAAAGAAATGTCTTCCTAGTATGATTATAAATTATAATGCAGAACCATTTGTTGCAGCCAAATCAAACGCCTACCTAGTAACTAGGTACCTAGTGACTACAGTGCTTACCTAAACCTAGTTATGCCCATACAATGAAACAAGTTATACTACCATCCTCATATAGTTTCAATAAAATGCGTTCAAACTTAACTATGAGTCATTTAACCATGGCGATTGAGACAGAATAAAACATTCACGAAAGTAGAATTAAGTAGGTACCCATCATACTCAGTAATTTATCTTTGTAAATAATTGTCCACTGATGCATCTTGACCTGGGTATTTATTCCTTTGACATTTCGTAAAGTTTTGAGATCCTTGCGTGCAGACCTTTACGTAGACCCATTAACTTCTGTTCTTTAATTACACACGAAAATGGGGATGTGACGAATTCATGGTCGATGTTAAGTACTTAATAGAAGACATACAATACGGGTCAGAACACGCTGTCTGGATATTTGAACATTATATTATATTGTACTCTTCAATTAAATATTCTTATTTAATTTTAAACAACATATCAGATAATAATTAATAGGCATCTTCTATATTATGGTAGATACCTACCTAGTTAATTTACTCGTGTAATTAAATTTTTAATTGCGTTTTAGGTTCTCCACTCTGAAATAAGCGTTTTTTAGCATTTTACAATTGTGTATCTCAGTGATATATTCTCCTACGAGTAGCCACAGCCTCTAAAATCTCCAAATTTTCGTACACATAGTCTCGAATCGGCTAAATCTAAATAAAAAAATCAATGCACTAAAAACTAGCATCAATGTTTGTGGATTTCTTTAACCAAAACCGTATAATATAAATTTAATAACAATATGTATAAATATATTATTTTATAACTGTAAACAAAATTAAATTGTCATTAACTAATTTTTATACTAATTTACTCAAAAAACAAAAAAAAAAAATGATTTAATTTACTCTTATACCTATATTATTAATTAATAAAAAAATAATTTATAAGCTTTTCATTTGTTTATAAAAATAAAGCAACAATTTGTAATATTTTATCAAAATAAATATTGTTTAAAGTAAACTTTTAAATTCCGTACTACACACAACTTTAGGGACTACTAGTAGATAATATATAGGTACTATAATATAAAATAGCCTGCCAATTGACTATAATAGGATAAATTATATTATGTAATATAAAACAAAATATCATAGTTACAATTTTGTTTGGTAGATATGTGTATTATTATTATTGACTTGTAATAGGTAGCCATAATTTATATTAAAAGTACATTTGTTTTAAAATATTTTCAATGATTTAGGTGGGTACCTACCTACCTACCACATATAAAGATTGTTTATTTGAAGACTTGACATTTTTTTTAAAGATTAAACTAACTCATAAGTTTACATCGCAGATAATAAGTTTTTCCAATAACTCTTACCTAGTAGATAAAGTTATTTTTCTAAATAACAGTAATATTAATGTTTATTTTTTTTCATATTATTAAACGGTCTTTGTAGGTTAAGTTGGATATCGCAATTTATTAACTTGTATTAAATATAATGATTTCTTGGAGATTAAGTTTGTTAGAATATTATCATATAGGTAGCTAAAATTACTCCTTTCATGGGTGAATACTGAATAGGTATATAATATATGAAAAAAATTCGCTGTAGATAGATACCATAGGTGCATAATATAATATATACAATATAAGCATTTTATAAATATATAATATATAATGTGTTCAACGATAAAGGTAGCATGAAATATTTCAAACGTATGACCTTAAATTTAATTTGAGATTTTTTGCACTGTATAAAGAACTTACATCTATTTTTAAAAATTGAAATGTGTAAGAAAATTCTACACGTATGCACGACAAAATGATTTTTTTTTTTTGTATTCAAATTTGAATAACTTATTTTTTTAAGCAATTTCGTTTTATAAAGCTTTATTTTTTCTAAAAAATTAACTTATTTAGAGCGAGTTTAAGTTTTAATTTATGCATTTTTTATTTATAATATTTTTTTAACAGTCTATTTATAAGTCAACTCAAATCTCTAGTGTGTGGTAAAAATTAGATAAATAGGTAATCTAAAAAATGTAGACATAATTTCATCCTTTTAATTCAACTTTTATTAAATTCACATTTGTGTCATGTAATAATCAGTTATTGAATGAGTTTAGTTATAATTAAGTTTAAACATTTATTTTATCAACTGTTTAAAATTGTTCTTGTTGTTTGTTTACATGCTTCACATCGTTTTATCACTTAATTAATAATTTTGTGTAACCATAAGTGTTTGATTTTCGGTCAACCGTGCACACGCAATGCTTTTTTTATTCATTAATTTGTGAAAATCGTTTGATAAATCAAAATAAACGACTGTCTTCAAATGTCACTGTAAAAAAATCAAAAAGCGTATCTAACTAAAATCTAATTTGCAAGGAAGGCATAGGTACTACTGGCCCACAAGTACACACCTGTCTATACGACTAAGAGTTTGTTACAAATATTGCCGTACAATTATTGTGTTATGAATAGGTGTCCTATCTTGTTGAAGAAATAAATTGATGCGAATGTGTATTAGAACATTATCCAAAATATTTTTGAAATGATTTAATTAGAAATCAAAGTATCTTAAACCGCAGTTAATGTGCTATCATAAAAATAGGAACCGAATAATAATTGGTCACCTAATAAGTCTACACCGGACGTCTGTTTCCTATACTTGATGAAAATTTGTAGGCATAATTTTGTTCAGAGTTGATTACCGAATATGTTGGGTAATAAAATAATATTAATTAATAACACTATTAGTGTTAAATTTGGATTCGTCAGTTCAATAAATATATTTTAAAAATTCCTCGGTTCTTTAGAAACTTGTGTCATTAATCACGCGATAAACATAAGCCTTCTCTCTGAATCACTGCTATTAAATGTTGAATTAAGCTTGGTCGATAAGGACGTAACTTATTTTTTTTTAGATTCTGAGCAGAGCGATGAATGTATTGATTTTACAATGATGTGTGTGTGTGTTTTTTATTTGTGGATAAATACATGAAAAGTCATCGATAAAATGCATTGATTTTTTAAAAATTGGGGTGGTTTTTGATATCGAATTGGAAAAACAAATAATAAATGTAGGAAAAACCGGTAATTTTTACGCAAATCTATAATTTTCGATAAAACTTATTTTATTTATTTGATGTAACTTAAAAACGAATAGATAACCGTAGAGACTTGAAATTTTCAATAACTAAATGTTTATATTATCTATTTAGGATTTTCAAAATATATTGATTATTTAAGAGCTATTTATATGTGTAAGCAATTTTTAAAAATAGTTGTTTTTTTTTTTAATGTCGATTAAAAATTAGTTTTTGAGTAGAAATTATTGAAAATTGAATACAAAACTTCTTATAAAATATTAATTTTTTGATAAAATATATTTTAAGACACGAAGGAATTTGATGTTAAATCTTTTTTTATTTAATATTATCTATATTTGCCAATATATATAACTACATAAAAAATTTGTAGAAACTACACAAAATCAATAGACGTGTTTTGTAAACATTTTGGTATTTTTACTGAAGTCATTTTACGTCCTTACAACAGTTCTTTGTTAAGAAAATCATTCTCCGGTATCTATGGTGAAACCTTTGCTTTACAAAGTTAAAGTAAATCATATAAAATTACAAAATGATGATAATATAATTTCGTTTTAAAAACACTGTGTTATTAATAACTAAACAATTTGATCTTTAATTTGAAATTTCTTGAATAATTTCTGTAGGTATGTCATATTTTGAGTTTTTTAGATCTTGAGTAAAACGATTTGGAACGTAAATCGATTCATGTTAGAGGAAAAATTCATTCTCATGTTAAACATTTTTTATTAAACGACATCAAAATATTTGACGATACCGCCAATATTAGTATGTTTTGAAAAATGTTTTTTTTACAGCATGGAAGTATAGAAGCTGTTTGTTGTCGGAAATGTTAATGTTTTAAGTTTCCTTTATCAAAATAGAAATTATTAGAATACCTAGGTACAAGTTATTGAATTTACATATTTTTTTTCATAAATTATTGTTATTCAATTTCATGCATCATGTAATACCTACTTAGGTATATAACCTACACCTAGGTATTACATTTTTGTTATAATTCATAATTATACAATAATATATGCATATAAATCTGC